AAAGAGCCAATCAACTGCAGCAGCGCATGCAACATGTGGCCTGCCGTGCGGTTTGCGCGGGCATCGTGCTCGGGCATCCAAGGCGTCGCTCGGCTGGGGGCCGTGCCGCTGCAAGGGCTTGGTGTGCGCATGCGGCTCGGCTGCGACAGCGGGGCGTGCCAGCCTCGGCGGCGTGGGCAGGCTGCAGCGTGAGGTTGGTCGGCGATCCGGCCAGCGGCTGCATGTGTGAGCAACAAGGGCGTCACGGCTTGCGGGCGTCGCGGCGATCGCGGCGCGCGGGGAGCCTGGGCGCACGGTGCGGCGGGAGGGCTGGAAGATTGGGTGCATGGGGCGCCGCGGCCTCGTGCAACACCCGGCTCAGCAGCTCGGTGGGGGATTGGCCCGCTGCGGCCGCGAGTTCGGCGAGTTCCGACTCGCCTCCCGCGGCCATGCATGCGAGCACCTCCGACGCTGCGGTCGCCCAGGCTGGTGTAGGCGACCCTCTCCAGAGGAAGCGCGCCCACAAGGACGGCGGCCGCTCCCAACAGCGCACCCAAGCACAACCAGACCCAGCAGTGTGAACAGGGCCCCCAACCGGGTGGGAAGTACTGCGGCGCGCTGCCGCCCACGCAAGTAACGAGTGCGTGGACGGCCGACTCGCGGCAGGTGTTGGGCAGGCGGGCCACGTGTGGCACTGCCTGCGAGCCCCATCGGGCCGCCCACCGCAGCACGGCAAGTGCAGAAGTCCAGACCCCTGTGTCCATGGCGGGAGCCCCCGCGGGCGTGGCAAAAGGGAGGGGGGGGGGGCAGGCCTTGAGCCAAAATGGCTACGGTTGCGCAAGCCGGACGGAGGGGTGCGAGGCATAGCCACGGGCGACGTTTTTCGCCGCCTGGTCGCCAGAACTCTGGCCAAAGAGTGGGCGCAGGTCTTCGATGACGCTACTCGCCCATACCAGTTCGCGCTCCAGGCCCGCGCGGGGACGGACGCTCTCGCCGCCAGCGTCCGGGCTGCCTTGTCCTTGCGCCCAGGCTCAGTCCTCGTGTCGCTGGACGGCCGGAGCGCATATGACTCCATGTCCCGCGTAGCCTTCCTCAGCAAGCTACGCGAGGTTGCGCCGGAGCTCCTCCCCTTCGTGCGGCTCTTTTATGGCCAGCCCTCCAGCTACTGCTGGTGGGACGCCACGGGGGCGTGCCGGACCGTGCCGCAAGGCGAAGGCTGCGAGCAATCCCCTTGCTCCGGCGCTGTTCGCGCTGGGGCAACACGAGGCGCTCTGCCAAGCCGCGGCCAAGCTGCACCGCGACGATGCCTTGCGCCGCCCGGCATCTCCGAGCTGGGGGCCGCGGTGTGGCGAGGGGACAAGCCACCGCCTGAGAGAGGCCTGGTGGTCCTGGGTACTCCCATCGGACACCCCGAGTTCGTGCGAGCATAGGCGGCGGAGCGCATGCAGGAGGAACGCAAACTTCTCGAGCAGCTGCCGGAACTGCCCGACCTGCAGTGCAGTTGGCTCCTCCTCTCCATGTGTGCCTCCACTCGTGCCAACCATGCGCTCCGCACGCTGCCCCCGTCCGAGTCACGAGGGTACGCCGCTGCGCACGATGCAGCGATATGCAGCGATCTGGGAAACGCTGCAGGCTTGCCTTGGAGGAGAGCCCCTTGACGACGCGCCCCACGCGTGGCCCATAGCCACGCTGCCAGCAGTGCTCGGCGGACTCGGCCTCCAATCCGCGCAACGCACAGCCCCGGCCGCGTACTGGGCTGCGTGGGCAGACGCGCTGCCGGTCATGCGAGCTCGTGCGCCCGATTTGGCAAGCCGGTGCCGGGAGGCCCTGGAAGGGGGACCGGGCCGAGACGCCCCATGTCTGCGCGAGGCGGTAGAAGCAGGGGCGCTGTTGCGTGAGGCAGGCTGGCAGACATGCCCCACGTGGAGCCTTGTTGAACGGGGTGCGCCCGCCCCCAGCCGACGACGCAGGGCCCGGAGACTGGCCGCATGGATGGCAGATGCGCGCGACGCGAACCCTCAACAGGCACTTCCGCGAACGCACGCTTCTGCCAGACATGCCACCCAGTTCCCAGGCACTCTTGCGATCCCAGGCAGGACCGCAGGCAGGAGCATGGCTCGCTGCGATCCCCACCGAGCCGGCCACCACGCTCCCACCGAGGCGATGCAGATCGCTTTGAGGCGCCGCCTGCGACAACCTCTGCCTCTGCACAGCAACACCTGCGGGCCGCCCCATGGCTGCCGTGGCGCAGTAGACCGCTTCGGCGACCACGCACTTGCGTGCCCGCGCACTGGACTCCTCGCCAGGCGGGCCAAGATCGTGGAGCGAGCCTGGGTGCAGGTCGCCCGGGAAGCGGTGGGGTCGGAAGGTCAAGTCGTTCCGCAGCAGTGGCTGGCCAACACCACCGCCCCGCAGGTCGGAGCGCAGGACCGTCGCAGACTCGACCTCGTCGTGTACGGGGCGCTGCGCAGCGGGGGGGCGCAGTGCTGCGACGCCACGCTGGTTTCCCCGCTCACGCGATCGGGGCACCCGCAGCCGTGCGCAGCGGCCGTGGACGGAGCCGTGCTGCGGGTGGCTGAGCGCCGCAAGCACGCCGCGTACCCGGAGCTCACGCGAGGGGGGCCGCAAACGCTCGTCGTGCTCGGCTCCGAGGTGGGCGGCCGCTGGAACGCTCAGGCCCGAGGCTTCGTGCGAGACCTGGTGCGTCTCAAGGCGTACCGCGCCCCCCTCCCCGTGCGCGCGGCAGCGACAGCAGCTTGGGCGAGGCGTTGGTGGAGCATGCTTGCGGTCGCGGTGCAGCAGGCAGTCGCCAGTACGGCTCTTGGAGGTGCCTGGCGGCAGCCGCTGCAACCTGAGGCTGGCGAAGGCCCGCCGCTCGACAGCGTCATCCACCACGCTGCCCCTGAGGGCCACAGTCGCCTGCCCCTGCGGCCGTAGCGAAGGGACTCCTTCCAGCTGGCGGAAAAAGGTGCGAGAAAAAAAAAAAAAGGCGTGTGAAAAAAATATATATGACAGCGATCCGCAAACCCGGTGGGGGCATACGAGGCATAGCAACCGGCGACATGTTTCGCCGGCTGGTCTCGCGCTCGTTGGCGGCCGCTTGGGCGCCAGTTTTCGACCAAGCTACGAGGCCTACCAGGTGCTGACTGCGGCCGACATAGCGCCGGGCGACGATGCTACGTGGGCCGCACTGCCCGACCCGGTTCGCCGCCCCGCAGTGCCTCGCACCGCGGTCCCGCAAGAGTTGCTCGACTTCCAGCCGGCCCAGCTTCCCCTCCTCAGCGTCCGAGCCTTGGCTTCCGCTTTGCGCGAGGCGCGCCGGGGCGGGGCGCCGGGGCTTTCGGGTATGCGGCGGAGCATCTCAAAGTCCTCATCCAGGATGTCCCGGCCACGGAACTCCTCACCGAAGCCGCCACAAAATTGGCACAGGTTCGACTCCCCGCAGCCGTCGCGCGCGCCCTGGCCATGGCACGAGTCACGGCTCTGCGTAAACCGGATGGTGGTGTTCGGGGCATAGCAACGGGCGACGTTTTCAGGCGCCTCGTTTCCCGCACGCTCGCCAAGGAGTGGGCGCAGACATTCGACCAAGCCACCCGCACTTACCAATTCGCGCTACAGGCACGAGCCGGGACGGACGCACTGGCTGCACGCATCCGCGCCGCCCTCGCGACGCGACCGGACGCCGTCGTGGTTTCCCTCGACGGCCGCAGCGCGTATGATTGTATGTCTCGCGCGGCCTTCCTGGGGAAGCTGCGCCAGGTGGCCCCGGAGTTGCTTCCCTTCGTGAGGTTGTTCTATGGCCAGCCGTCCACGTACTGTTGGTGGGACGCGGAAGGGCGCTGCCGCGACATACGGCAAGCCGAAGGCTGCGAGCAAGGCGATCCGTTAGCCCCGGCGCTGTTCGCGCTTGGACAACATGATGCGCTCGCCCGCGCGGACGAGGCCTTGCACCCTCTCGACAACCTCGTTGCCTTCTTGGATGACTTGCACGTCGTGACCAACCCAGGCCGTGCCCGCACAGCACTCGACACGACCGTTGAGGAGGTTGCGTCGCACTGCGGCATAGCATCGAATCTCGGCAAGACCCGCGCCATAGCCTCCGTGCCAGGACCGCCGCCACCGGGCATCGCCGAACTCGGCGACGATGTCTGGCGAGCCGATAAGCCAACTGCCGAACGGGGCGTGGTCGTTCTGGGCTCGCCCATTGGCCCTCCGGATTTCATCCGCTCATGGGCAGACGAACGCATGCGCACGGAACGGCAACTGCTAGACCACCTGCCGCAGCTGCCGGACCTCCAGTGCGCCTGGTTGCTCCTGCACATGTGCGCGTCCCCACGGGCAAACCACGCCATCCGCACCATGCCTCCATCCCAGTCCGCCGCTTACGCCAATGCCCATGATGGGGCTATGTGGACGACAGGCATGTTTGGGAGGGGTTCCGGCGCAGGAAGCCGCGCAGGCCTGGGAAATAGCCACACTTCCGGCGGCGCACGGGGGCCTTGGCTGCAGTCGGCTGCACGGACGGCTGCGGCTGCTTACTGGGCCGCGTGGGGCCGATGCACTCCCCGTCATCCAAACGCGACTCCCGGAGTGGGCTAACCGCTGACGCTGCCCCATGCTTCCGCGAGGCGGATGAGGCCCGCAAGCTCTTGATTGACGAAGGGTGGAACAACTGCCCCACTTGGCAAGCCATCCAGGAAGGCGAGCGGCCCGCCCGCCCGACAGACGCAGGCCCGGGGGACTGCTGGCAATTTCACGCGACCCGGACTCGCAACCTACACTTTCGCAGTCGCGTGCTGTTGCCGGCCATGCCGCCAAGCTCCCGAGCCATGCTCCGCTCCCAGGCTGGGCCGCACGCGGGGGCCTGGCTTTCAGCCATACCGGGCGAGCCAAGCACGACCTTGACTCCGCAAGCCATGCTCCTGGCACTGCGCCGTCGCCTGCGACTACCTCTGCCCCTGAGCCCCCACCGGTGCGGCCCAAACCCGGGGTGCGGCCTAGAGGTCGACGCACTGGGGGACCATGCGCTGGCCTGTCCCCGGACAGGACTGCTGGCCAGACGGGCAAAAGTGGTCGAAGGGGCGTGGCTCCGCGTGGCTAGGGAAGCAGTCGGAGCCGAAGGCCAAGTCGTGCCACAACAATGGCTCGCCCACACGACGGCCCCAGGAGTGCGCCCAGATGACCGTAGGCGCCTGGACATGGTCGTCTACGGAGCCACAGCCAACACAAGAAGCGCTCTGCTGCGACGCCACGCTTGTGTCGCCGCTGACCCGCGCAGGTCACCCACAGCCGCGCGGGGATACAGACGACGGCGTGGCGCTACAGGTCGCGGAGCGCCGCAAGCAGACGGCTTACCCCGAACTCACATGCGGCGGCGGGATCTCGTCCACCTCCGGGCGCAACGCGCGCCGCCAGCTGTTCGCGCGGCGGCTGCGGGAGGCTGGTCCAGGCGATGGCAAGGCATCATCTCCATCGCAGTCCAGCAGGCCGTCGCGGGCACGGCCCTCGGACGCGCGCGGCCAGCCCAGCCGCAAGCGGGACCGGAGCCGGGCCCAGCCTGGAAAGGGCCCTGGACCTCGCCGGGGGCGCTGGGGCGAGCCGGCTGCCGCTGCGGCCGTAGGAGCTTGAAGGCACGGACATCACAGGCAGCTGGAAAAAGGTGCGGAAAAAAAAAACCGAGGCACCCGCTCGTGCTTGACCAGTTTGGGTTTTAGCAGCTCCGCGTAACAGTTAGAGACTGCGGTAGCGAAGCGTCGCCAAAGGCACCTCTCATGTCTCGAATGCTGGACTCTGCTGTCCGCAAAAAGTCCCCCTTCCATCCTGCCACAAAGCCTTTCCAATTCGGAAGCAGGGCACGAAGGTCGCAGGAGCAGCGGGAGTGAGCTGCCCAGCTTCGTTGATTAGTGCTGTGGCTTGCCGTGGCGAAACCCCGAAAATCGCTGCCAATTCCAATCGAACTTCGCCATTTCGCCTTGCGAGCAGGGACCTCCTGAGCCACAGCAACCTTCGGACGCGAAGCTCAGTAGCAACCTCAGCCAATCCACAGACTCGTCTCAGCAAGAAAATCGGAACAAAAACTGCGACCTGCTCAGTGGAAACCTTGCCATATCCTCGCACACCGAAGATACGCCGCAGAAGAAGCCCTCTAGCAGCTTCCAACTTGTCAAGGTCGCTCTGGCTCAATACTCTCCCTTCGAGTGCTGAAAGGAGCGCCTCGGCTCGAAAGACCATGATCTTGCGTTGGTGGGGCACTGTAGATCTCCGGAAGAACTTGGCGAACATCGCAAACGCAGATCTTGCAGCAGCTGTGCGCTTGTTTGCCTCAAGTTTGCAAGAGGGCTGCGCCTGCAAGTGCGCCCCTAGATATTTCACAGAGCTCTACGATCCACACATCGAACACCCCCAATCCTGCCAGCACAACACTTCACTGGATCATAGCGCTCGGTGAACTTCTGCTTGTCAAATCTTTCCACCTGAAGCAAAGGGAGAATGCCACCATGTGTATCTCTCCCGGCTTTACTCCAAGAGAAGCAAAAGTAGATTGGCCGGCCCTTTCTGCTGTAAACTGTCCATTCTGAACGTGGCGTGGCGTGTTTCCAGCAGGTACCCTGAGGCGCGGCAGCCTGCGCCCCTCTCGAGTACAAGTCTTCAGCAATCTCAACAGGCCTTGCCGATGAGTGCCCGAGGGTCCGACAGTTATATGTCACAAGCTGAAGAACACCTCCTCTGACAGTGTGTGCAGTCTGCTCTTTTGCAGTGGTGGCCGGAAGATGAACTTGATGATCATTACATCTAAACGACAGCAGGGGATCTTGCTGATACCACCACCGTCTCTTGCTGGCAAACAACGTGCGAACAGCAGCTATGTCCATGGTACCGTGTCCATCCGTGTCCATCCCCACAAGAAGTAATGACGAAGCGCTCGCCATATAACGCGTTTGCGTGCTGAATCAGTGCGCGTGTTGCCTTGAGTGTCATGGTCTTGCTGCATCTATAGGTCTGGATGGGAGTCGCACCTCCCATCCACCCTCACCCCCACCTGTCAGCGAAGCTCTGCCATGATGAGCGGCTCCCGGATTTGGGACCGGGACTCTCTTTGGTGCCTACAGCGGCAGATGGGGCTGTCCTGAGGGCCGCCACACGGCGCAAGCATGCCACACCATGCCACATGCCCGGAACCGGTGGCCAGTGGCGCGCAAGGCCTATGCATCCTCGGCTGCGAGGTGGGCGGGCGGTGGCACGAGGATGTGGTGAAGCTGGCTCGGCGCTTGGTCGCCCTCCGCGCACACCGTGCCCGTGCCCCACCAGGTGGGCCCGTCGCTGGCGGAGCATGCTGTCCGTCTCTGTGCAGCAGGCGGTTGGCCACACAGCCCTTGGACGCGTGCGGGCCCTGCCAGGCGCCACGTTGAGCGCGGCGCCGGGGCTGGATGAGGTCCTGGATTTGCAAACGCTGAGGGACCCAGCCGCCTGCCGCTGCGCTGCTGACGTAGAAAGGCGTGTGAAAAAGAAACCCGTAGTTAGACTGACTCGGGACCATGGTCATGCAGGCAGAAAAGTGTGTGGTTAACCATTGCATGTGGATACCTGATGCATGGATGCGCTAGGGTACGGCTGGCGGAAGACGCGGATTCCGTTCCAGCCATCGCCACGCTTTTTTACCGGACACGGGACTACCTCAACAAAGAGTTCTGGGAGGACTTTGATTATCACAAACATGCTGGCAGATACCGGTGATGAGTTAGAATTTCGTTCAACGTATGAGCCTGAGAGTGCTGTCGTTGCAGGACCAAGTCCGCAGATTGTCTGATATCGTGTCCGAAGAGTGCTCCTGGTCATGTGTGCTTTTCGCCGTTGCAGCTTCATTGTTCGTTGGTTGCAGACTGATGCAGACTGATGCAGTTTGACGGAGGTATTTGCGCAACAGCCGCGGTATCCAGCAAATGCCTGAGACAAACCACATCCACATGGCTGGGACGGCGTGAGCCCAATCACCATGGCTTCCTTCATGAGGCTCATGGTTCATCATGCACCTCCTTCTGCAATGGGGTTAGAGGCCAGAGCGGTAAGGAGCATGTGTTGCTTAAACGCACTGTTGTTGACCCTTTTTGAGCAGCAGGTGGGCGAACACAGGCTGCTTGCTGAAGTGGAGGTGTTGCCATTGGTCTGTTTAAATTTCAGTGTGTGACGGCAGACTGATGCTGATGTTGGCCCACGGTCGTATTGCATGACTGTCAGCGTTCGTCGCCTGTTCAACAATCATTTTTTCCTTTTCCTCCTCCTCCTCCTCCTACTCCTCCTCCTCCTCCTCCACCGCCACCAGCACGCATTTCAGGGTTGGTTGGAGCGAGCTTCGTCGGTGCTTAACATGTGCCAGATTTGGACATGGAACGAGCGAACTGTTGAGACCTGATGATATGCTCTGGTATCGAGCCTGGAATGTTTTTTTGCCATTCCTGTAAATGGTTTCTGGTAGGCCAGGCAGGGGCATAGCGCCGGTGCGCAATGGGTTGACCTTGACGCTACACTTAGCATGTCTCAGTTGGAACGTTGCCAGTATGGCTGCGTCATCGTTTGTCGGGCACGCTTTTTCAACTTCGCCAGGCATTGTCCTTTGTCGGCCGTCGTTTACCGAGGCGCAATTGGGCTTGATTCAACACTTTCTAGAAGTCTTGTCGAAATAAGTCATATAAATTCCAATAATTGTTGAGGGCCGGAGGTGAAAACTTGGAGGGGGATGGCTTGCAGCCACCGTTGAAGGTAGTATTGGCAATGTGCACTCAACATCACACCACAACATGATGCGGAGTGGTAACGGGGCCTTTCACGGCTTTGTTGTTGGAAAGGAAGGGGTGCTAAGTCTTCATCATCAATCCCCAGGTTGACCCGCACGCACATCTGTTTGGGCCTTGCCTCGTGCGTGCAAAGGTCGTTGTCGACTGGTGCTGCCCTGAGTTTTTGTTGTTTGCACAGGCTGAAATCTGGTTTTGGGGCGCCAGTGGGCCCGGTTCTCTGCGTTTTGATCGTGTGGACGCCATGTTGAGTCGGACGGATCGACAACGACAGTATAAAGCCTGTTTTGCTCTCTATTTTGCCTGGCTTTGGTGCCGCATCATCGCTGCGCAGATTTTTGGCTCAAGAGTCCCCCAGCTGGAAGTGTGCACTTTCGAAGAACCGAGCCAGGACCGCCGCCGGCCAGACACGTAGCGGTGGCTTGACAGTTCCTCCAGAATGGCTTTAAAACTTTAACTTAGTTTGAGTTTCGCGGATCTTTCTGTGCGTCTGCTGAGTTTCCTGCGGGCGTCAGGTGTGAGAGGTTTTAGGCCCCAGGCATGGCTCTTGCACATGGCAGTTGCGTCGCAGAGTGCTGTGGCAGGATGCTCTCTCGACTTGCTCAGGGCGCTTGGCCTTACTCTTCCGAAGTAGCGATCGGGGCTGGGATTGCAGCACTGCGCACGCCAGTGGAAGATTGACGGCATTGGGCCTGCAGATGCGTGTGCCCAGGTGTTGGCATGCAATTCTAAACTGAAGTGTTCATAAACGCTCGGCATCCAGCATCATCCACGGTGTCTTTTCCTAAGTTGGGCCCAGGCATTCGCAACGGCAGGGTGCCTGCTGCTGTCAGCGGAGCTTTCAGGACGAGCTGGCGGCTTAGGCAGTGCTTGGATCTGCCATGATCTGCAGCGATGGATGCAGGAACAGCTTCACGGCCGTGCAGGAGGCCATCTGTTTTGCCGCCACACGCGTTCGTATTTCCAGCATCGCCAAAGTTGGCATGACCCTTACTATGTTACGCAGATTAGCTTTTGGCATTGCTCATGATAGGGATGAACGGAAATTTCTTACCTACGAGCCGCATAAAGTCTGGAAATGGTTGGCATGTAGTTTAGGTTCCTGTGAACCCACGAAGGTTTACAAGGTCGATGCTTATGGTCACTAAAAAGTGACTTGCGCGTTGAACAAATCGCATTTGCTGTCCTGCGAAATCCTTCGCTGTGTCCTCACGCTTCTGGTCTGAACTTCTCGTTCATGATTAGAAAACAGGTCACTCCTCTAAATTATGGTGCCTGTTGGGGTTGCGATTACAAGGGGGCCCCTAGTTGTTAGGGTACCTTTTTTCCATCGTGGTGAGAACTGACCAGACGCAAGGAAAGCCAGGCATTCAAAGGTGGTCGCCGAGTTGAGTGAAGCCTGGGAGTTTCGGCGGGGCAAGGGGCGCAACAGCAAGTCTGCGCAATTCGTACGGGTGTGTGCTGGCTCTATGTGCGTCTTCGCATGCCGTCAAGGCCGGGGCACTGGAGGTTGGGGAGCTTTTTTGCCGTATCTGTTGCACAGCAGTAGATGAAGACAGCCTCGCCACAACGAAGCGGAATGCATCGAACTTGGCAAGGCAACCGGGGGGCTTGATTCGAAGACCGTTCTGATTACTTAAAAGTTTGATGAGGCTCAGATCAGATTTGTTTGGTAGTGAGCCTTGTGTTGCGGCGCGGGTTGGAGGCGTCAGCGAAAGAGGCGTCAGCGTCGGAGGTGTCAGCGTCGGAGGCATGAGTCAAGGAAATATTGGTGACGGCTGTCGCCCATCGGGTACAGCAGGAGAGCCGTCTTTGAGTCAGCCGGTCACAGTCACATGTGGCGCCTGAGAGCTGTGCGCCTCGCAGAAGAAAGTCTTATGCTGTTCGTGGGGAGTGTGGAAGGCCGACGAAGGCTACCAGGTGCTTGAAAGGTTTCAAGTTGAATTAGGAAGCCTCAAACCAGGCAGACATTGCCAGTGCACGGTCAGAGAAAAGAGAACATGGCTTGTTATTTGCCAGGCCACGCCAAGATTGAACCGCTTGGGCCTCACAGTTTCAAATTCGAGGTGCAAAACATGCGTTCTCCGCAAAGCCTCGTGAACTGTGCTCAGCGAACCGGACACTTCAAGAAGTGCTGGGAGTGCCCAGGCTGTGAGCTCTACGTGCCCGGCACCCAGGCCAAGATCATTCCCAAGGCTGCAAAATCTGCCGCGGATGTCGTGGACACTCGGCGAACACATTCTGTCTTGGATGCTTGTAGAACTCTTGTAGAGATGTTTGTTTAGCTTTGGTTGGACTGCAGGCTTGGCCTTTCGAAGGATGTGAGAGCAACTGTAGCACGATTTTGTGTTGATTCACGTCGGCCCCCAGCCGCCTTGTCAGATATGTGTCGCTAGAGGTGATGGACCTTGAAGACTCGGTTGCCGTTGGAGAGAAGGAAATCGCCCGGAAGAACGTCATCCAAGCGCTGAAGGACCAACCAATGTCATGTACAGGAGTAGTCGAGTAGTCGAGTGGTCATGTAGTCATGTAGTCATGTAGTCATGTCGTCATGTAGTCATGAAGTAATGTAAAAATGTAGCAATGCAGTAATGTAGTAATGTTGTCATGTTGTTGTAGTAATGTTGTAGTGATTTTATAGTAATGTTGTAGTAATGTTGTAGTAATGTTGTAATGTTGTAGTAGTGTTGTAGTAAAGTTGTGTTTTTTGTAATGTTGTCATGTTGTAATGTCGAAATGTCGAAATGGCGTAATGTAGTAGTCTAAGTCATAAAAAAGAATGAATCTCAGGTGGCTCTGAATGTGGAGTGCCGAGTCCAGCACGCCAAATGTGGCTGTCCAGCACCCCCCTCCTCCCCCTTCCCCCCCTTCCCCCCCTTCCCCCCCCCTTCCCCCCCTTCCCCCTTCTTACCCCCCCCCCCCCCCCCTTCCCCCCCTTCCCCCCCTGCCCCCCCTTCCCCCCTTTCCCCCCTTCCCCTTTCCCCCCTGTCCCCCCTTTCACCCCTGCCCCCCTTTCCCCTTTCCCCCTTTCCCCCCTTTCCTCCCCCCCTTTCCTCCCTTTCCCCCCTTTCCCTCTCCCCCCCCCAACCCATATGGTAAACCCTGACTTGCAGTCAAGCAAACATGTCGACACCCAGACGTCCAGTCCAGGAGACTAATTTCCACATAAAAACACGGTCCAGCATTGGATCCTGGCGCCTGTTGCACATTCTGTGAGTATTTTATGCTGAAGCTTGTTGAGCGCTTTGTGGGTCAGTCTTTGGGGTTGACGGTCTCACCTAGCTCTTGCGCGCCTGTGGGCTTTTCATCAGCTTACGCAACAGGAAGTCGACTTTGGCAAGAAGACGGTTGCCGCCGGGAGCTTTCGAATGGCTTCATGGCAGCTTCTGAATTGAGAACATGACCATCTCAATTCAGACTTGTTTGGAGTCTTGTGCCAAAATACAATAACCAGGTCAGAATCAACGGCCTGTATAGCCACCACATGTACCGCGATGTCGTTGACATCATCGAACAGGCCAAGAGCACATGGGCCTGCAGTGATTGAGCTGACACACGGCATGTAGAATGGTGCGCAGTAAGGACGAAAGCTCGCTGTCTGTCGCCCCAAGAACTGTTCGGGCTATGTTCTGCGACACGGTAAAAGTAGGCTCGTCTTCCGGCATGCGAAAGCTTCCATGTTGACCGGCATTGCAGAAACGGGTTTTCTCAGCAAACTATGGGAGTAGTTTCTTGACGCTCTACAAGTAGCGGTGGGCATTTCTGGGACAGTGGAGGGTCCTAAGTCTCACAAGCCTGCAACAGGAGAGCGACGCCGTAGACCCGCATAAAAAACCTTGCATACGTGACGCTCTACAGTAGCCTGGGCCACTTGCAAGACTGGATTCGAAAAACTGCGTATTTCACACAACGCGTGAGCGCCAGCAGGCGGGGGAGCGGTGCGACATGTTCGTCATTCCCATGGTTGGCAACGGAAAGGACCACGCCGCACAAGCAGAGTAGAAGCAGGTTTGCTGGAATGATGACGGTCCAGGGTAGCCGATACGAGCTGGCATGGCTTGATTGAGCTTGGCTGTAAGTATGATTCAGAATCAAGAGATTGAGTGGTGCCGCAAGAGGACGTCTACATGGCAGACTCCTTGGTCAGCCAGGTAGAGGCGTGGCCATGTCTGTTGCTACCGTAGCCTGTGGAGCAGTCATAGAGGGAGGAAAAGACTTTCGTGTGGAGACTGGCCCAGGAGGCGCCTAGCATGAAACTCCAAGTAGACTCCAAGCAAAGCGGCATGGGCGCCCGAACAGGGGCAGGGGCGGATGTTGTGTGGTGTCAGATGGCTTGGATCACAACAAGCAGCTAAAACGAACGGAAGGCAGGCAGGCCGACCGCGCCCAATGCGCTCAAGAATCCGCCCGCACCGCCAGCATCTTACCCGAACACCGTCTGCCCGTCAGTCAGGGGCCCCGGTCCCAAAGGGATTGGGGGGAGCCTGTCAGATCTTGTCAGGGATTACTTGGCCACCTAGCTGGCCATTGCAGGTTTGCCTCCGCGGCGCCCGCAAGCCGTCGCTTTGTACATGTCATGTCATATGCTTTTATTTCATGTCGTAGGTTGTGCCAAGAGCTGGGGAAACTAAAGGAATGTGAGGGCTAAAGACTCCCGTTTGCATTGTTACGTATGTTCAGGAGTTCATGGGGCGCAAGAAGAAGATTGGGTTCGGGCTCATCATCGAAGCCACGATGGGCGCCTTGGCTTGACCCATAATGCAGAAAGTAAGGCTGAGGGCACTGGACGGCTTTTCCTGGTGGTCCCCCAAACAGGTATGATGAACATCCACGAGATTGCCGCGGCGTCCAAGCGGAACGAGTCTCTCCACTTCGGCGTGGCGGACAGACGGCTCCGCGTTGATTCAAGCGCATCATGGAATCATGGGTCAGTACTTGTTTTTGGGTGGCGCGCCCTGTAGCCGGCAGGACTACGCGGCCTCCACAAAGTCACGGACCACAAACATCGGCGGACCAAACAAGCTCTACGGCGTGCTCACGGACAAGGACCGGAGCTCCAGCCTTCATGCTAAGCCAAGACCTGCGCAAGTTCTGAGGATGGCGACAAGGCCCGCGACTTCTTCTGGGGCGACCCCTGGCACTATGCCATGGCCAGGAGCTTCCCGAGTTGCAGTCCATGCCGTGCGTACCCCGAAACGCCCGCCCTGAATCTTCTGCGCTGGGAGTTTGTTGCGACATGTCGCAACGCCGGGTTCCGGGGGGTTTCTGGCTGCAGGATCGTTGTGGCAGCGCGCGCGAACGGGCTTCGCCCCGTGGACGGCCGTTCGGCAGCACTGCGTCCTCAATAACTCAGTAACGATGACAATGCCAGAACCTTCTTCAAGAGTTCCAAGCAAAAAAAGTTCCAAGCTTCCGTGATGAGCTTTGAAGAGAAGGGGTTCGGCTGCGAGACCCTGCAGACCCTGTCAAACCACGTGGGATCGAGTCCGTGGAAGCTGAGGGCCCTTCGGCGACATCGCAGACCCCGATGGCTACAAGGCTGCCGGGCTTTTACCTGCACCCTCAACTGTTCAACTAGAGTTTCGGGTTTAGGGTTAGGGTTTAGAGTGCAGGGTTTAGGGTTCATGTTTGTCTTGGCCCCGCGAAGGCACAGTGCGAACGCGGAGCTGCCCTTGGCATGGAGGGAAAATGGGCCATCCATCCCAGCCAGGCAAGGTTTGTTTCACTTGTCCCCATGTAGCATGATGGGCCCACGTCGCAGAGTGGAGGTGTTGTGAATCTGCCAGCTTCGTTTAAGCTGCTGAGCAGGTAGCGCTGGCGAACGAGGTTTTCAGCCCTGGTGAGGCTGAAGTGAAGCAAGCCAGACGAGACTTAGTCCGCAAGAATGGCGTCGGGCAACGGAATAGCAAAGAATGGGTGCAGGCTTGTGAGTTCACGACGCCAGTTTTGGGCAATTCCGGGCCACAGCAGCAGCAACATCGCCTGGGTTAAGAGCGTGGGGCCATGTACCAGCATCGCAGAACCGGACTCCCAACAGGTGTTCTGGAAGCAATGGAGAACGCGCAGAAGGAGGCGAGGGCAGCTGCCAACGCTGACGTAGCTGCTGCCACTGAACTGGTGTTTTGCTCAGGGCCTTGGTGCGGTCTCCTTGGATGGCAAGCTGGTGGACATCGCCTCCATTAAGCAGGTGGGTGCGTCTTCGACGAGTGGTGAGGTGCCTGTAGTGCACATGCCTTGCATCTTGCTCTTGCAGGCCGATGCAATCGTGAAGAAGGCCGAGGCGATCGCAGCCATGTAAAGTCCGACGATGGGCTGAGATAATTCTCCGCCCTTCGCGCAAGGGCACCAAATTCTTGAACGTGTGTGGGTCTGTGTGACTTCAAGTCGTGTAAGTGAGCGGTCGTTTCTTGCAAGCGAGCCAGATTTTCTAGTATGCCGCTGGAGGTGGCACCGGAGTTTCAATCATTTGAAATTGTTGGAAGCATTCGGAGCAGCCTTTGCAAACGTGAGTTGATGTGAGAGAGGGAAGTAGCTGGTAAGAAGCTGTCCCAGCTGCCCGTCATGTTCCAACGCGTAGCACACTCTGTCGACCGACGAGATCTACAGATATCTATGTTTCCATGCCGAAGTTTCTCCAGTTGGAAGGCCCAGGGCAAAAAAGGTGCGGTTGCATCACACAATATCACGCAGCTGCGTATGGCGAAGGAAAGGCCTGATTTGCTTGATTTTTTTCAATTCAGGGTAAGATCTTGAAGGCTGCTAGTTGTTTTGCCAGCAAGGATTTGCGCATGGAAGCATGTGGATCTCAGGTGAAGCTGATTGGGGCCTGGTCCAGAAGGAGGAGGAGACAGCGTGTTATGATCAACTGACCCGGGGCGTTGCAACATGTTCCCTCGTGTTCTCTCATGTCGGCTAATGTTGGCTTGCCTCTAAACCCTAAACCCTAAACCCTAAACCCTAAACCCTAAACCCTAAACCCTAAACCCTAAACCCTAAACCCTAAACCCTAAACCCTAAACCCTAAACCCTAAACCCTAAACCTTTTACACTCGGCCTTGGAGTGTCCTGTGCCTGCTCACGGCTTCAGAGAGTGTAGCTCTCCGCAGCAGGAGCCTCTGGTTCATGAGCGCAGCGGCCTCGGCATGCGGAGATGTTGGTCACCACGCGTCAGCAGCACACCTCAAACAGGGATGGCATCGATTGCGGGCGGAAGAATGTGTAGAGGCAAAAGTCTGCGTTTTGTTTATTCATCCAGGCGCACAACGTTGGGCTGAGTGGCGCTCGTGATGTTTTTGGTGCAATGTTACCTGTCACCATATATTTTTCTTCCGGGGCTTGAAGGAAACAAGGAAACCCAGGTTCCACGCAACGAAGAGTCTAGATCCAGCTCTCTTGTCAGCCAGGCCACGCCTTCTTCCATCGCTTCAGCTCCGAGAACACCGATCCGGTTGATGTCCCGAGTCTGATTTGAGGATCCTGTTCGCAGCTTCTCTTTGGAGCCCAGGGTTTGCCCACCTATAAGTGAGCCATCACGGCAGCAGGCTTTTGCAGTGAAGGATCGGGAAGCATCAGGAGTCAGAAAGAGCTGTGGCTACAGTGGCTGCTGGAGGCATCAGCGCTTGCACGCGGCGACTACGTCCTCCGGGCTGCTGGCCGGCCAGCGCCGGCCTTGTCAAAGCAAGGTTGTGCCCCAGTACTCTGGTTCCTCCCGATCACGTTGCCCGCGCATGGTGGCGCAGAGAGGTCTTCGACGTTGCAGGTCCAAACAAGATTGGCTTCGGGTGCATGGGATCTGGGGCCTGGGGGGTCGAGGCTGCTGTTTTGAAACAACCACACAGAATCCGTTTTCTCTTTCGCTGCTCAGGTTTGTGGCCTCTCGGTGCTGGGTGAGACACCCAGGGGCTCATTGATCTGAGAAGTGGAGAGCCAGATGTGTTGTCTCTCTCTGCGTGCTTCTGCACCTGCCGATGGTGTGAGGCATTCAGCCCTGGAGGCTGGTTTGCGGGGGCGCCTGGGCCGATGAAGGGCCGGGGGTCCCAGGAACCACTCCAGGTTGTCGTTGCCAGCTTAAAGAAGGGCAACGACCGGAGCTTAGGCGGGAGCCTGAACTGGCCTACCTCGCACAGCAGTTGCAGCGGCGTGCGCGCAAGTGCCCTTTAAGAGCGGTTGACGTTTTGGCCAGTGAACTAAGAGGCATTGGCGTCTTGTGAGAGCCTGTGAAATTTCCTTTGGTTGCACTTTTGTTTTTCGAAGCTGCTTGTGGTGAACTCTCTTTCCGGTTATACGTTGTGCATCATTTCGGCTTCTCGCATGTGGGCTGGCCGCGGGGCATGTCACTGTGGGAAAGGGAGGAGCCTGCATGAGCTTGCCTACTCAAGCACATGGCCGTTCGGAAGTTCAGAGAAAGAAGCCACGTGGGCGTTGCATGGGGTTTAGGTCTTGAGTCGACCCCCTGTGTCATTTGCAGGTATGCCTGCAGCATCGTTTACGATTCGAAGGACGAGCGTTCCTCACGGCCAGAAGCCTGGATGTTGCTGTGAGGATTCGGGCGTTTTGACTTGCAGGATGCTTTGAATCACGGGATTCGTGCAGGTTTCAGAGAAAAAAGGGGGGATGTCAGCTCAGCATGTGGCTGCAAGTAACGCAGCTTTCTTGGTGACGGGTGACGAGGCCAGCCGCAGAAAAGGGCACATTGTCAGGTAGAGGCGTAGCTTCCGCTGTTGGAACTAAAGTGCCCGGTCCGTTTCGCTCAAGCGCGAGCCAGGTCTACGGCCGTAGCACCGCCAAACGCTGTACCCAAACACGTGTTTTGCAGGACTTCTCAGGTGTTGGAGATCGACAGGCTCTTACCAACAAGAGAACTTTGCTTTGGATTCCTTGGGTGACGGTTTTGATAGATACCCGCAGTCTAAAACTTCAGGGGGTGCTTTGTGATCTTTGCGTCTATGTTGCATCACTGGCGGCATGCCAAAGGCAGTCGCCAAGTCCAAGCTTGCGGCCAAAGCATCACAGAGACATGGAAGTCGAGGTCCGAGCCGTGGAGCACCACCTCGCGGCTCAGTGCTAAGGCCGCCAAAGCCCACCTCGCCCTCGGATCTGCGCAGTGCTGCGGCCACCAAGATCCAAGCGCGCTTTCGCGGACTTCTTGGACGGATGCTGGTTGCTCAACGGCGATTGCGGCTGGAGCAGGAACGCGCGGAAGAGGAGCACCGACGCCGCGTCGAAGAGAAGCGCAAGGCAGCAGAAGAGGCGCGACGGCAGGCTGCACAAGAGGCTCAAGCACGTGCCGTGCAAGAGCGAGATGACAAACTGCGAGCCCTGCGTGATCGTCGCTGTGCTCTCGAGCAGATGTGCCAAGGTTTGCCGTCGCATCACATGGATTGGGAGGAAGCTCCAGCCAAGCTTCTTGACTTGTTGGAGCGGAAGACAGCTGGAATTGGCAAGCTGGCTGTGTGTGAGGCATGGCTGGGGTGCCATACAGAGCGACGGTCGGCCAGGAAAAAGTATCTGCTGCTCACGAGGAAGTGGCACCCGGACAAGTGGGCTGTGCAGGGGGAGCTGTGTGTTTCCATTGCGACAGAGGTAGCCAAACAGCTGGTCATGGCTTATGAACAGGCGTGCAAGGAGCTGCCAAACTCTGCACCTGCATCCACCACCTTTGCTGCGCAGGAAGACAACGACGAGGATCGTGAGTGCCATGAGTTTGCAAGCTGGGTGGGCGTTTCTTTCAAAGGCATGGAGGAGGTATGGAAGGAGAGACGTGGGGTAAAACGGTAAAGAGCCAACAGTTTCATTGAACTCGCAAGCCTTGTCCTGGTGCCGCACTGCACTCGTACCACAGACAAGCTCCGCTCATGGCGCACCTGCGGTTCCGTGCGATCTGCCTGACCTTCTCCGGCTGTACGAGGCCTTGCCGCTTTAATTGTGGCAACATGCCTGCCCTCTATTGAGGAATCGAGAATAGCGGACGGCCAGCGTGGCTGTGGCGGCCTGGCACATATAACGGCGGTTGCCAGCCAACAATTCCAAAATCTGGAGTGCCTTGGCGGCGCTGCCGCGTAATCCAGCTGCAAGAAAAAATTTTCATCGTCAAGACGGGTGATCTGACGTGACAGGCTCTTGGACTGCGGCATAGGTTTCTGGCATAGCTACACTCGTTCTGCAACCGCTGCTTGAACTGTTCGATGCTACTTTCTCTGCCAGCCCAAGCAGGTCTGCCAAGGTTCTCATCTCTTACGCAAGTCTTTGGAACCATTTTTTGGGGGGACCTGCGCTGTATCGAGGCTTCTCGGAGACAATGCCAAGGAGTTCGGCCTCCTGCGCCGTCAACGGCCCCTAAGGATCGCTGCAGGGGCCTTTGGGGGACTGAGATCAGGCAGACTTCGGGACTTGTAGTAGCTGTGCCTACCCAGGAGTGGGCATTGGCGTAGGTGTGGTTTTACACCCGGGGAGCTGTGCCTTTACCCAGCGGCATGGAAAGTCTCCAAAGGTTGCGCTTGTAGTCTTGCAGCTGATAGCCCAAGGGTCTGAGCAGTGTGAGTCGCCAGCAGCGGGTTTCTGCAAGGTCACTGGGGTTCCCTTGGGCCTGTCCCTAGAACAGCAAGCGCGCTTGGCTCGGGCGTGGCGACCTCAGACTCAAGTAGCTGAGGCCTTCTGAGCAAAGGAGTCCTGACATCGTCCTAGTGGGCTCGGTTGTTCTTCAACCCTCGTGGTGTATGCCGTTCTTGCCATGCAAGGTCTCAAGGGTTGGGGGTATCAGATTCTCAGGCATCAAGGGACACGTTGTGGCCATCCTGGGTGTTGAGCCTCTGGTGCCCGTGTTTTGCCGAGGCCCTTCCTCATCCCGCCGCGAAGCCGTGTTTGGAAGATGCCTGTTTGGGGTCATGTCACCTGTGGTGGCAGCTGCATGCTGGTGTGGGGAGATGCGGTTGTTTACAACCACAATCAGGGTTCCATGCAGTACGCCAAACTCGTGCCCCTTCCATCAGTGTACATCAGCATCACGTGGCGAGGTGGGAGTTCTTGCCCTTCCATGCCGGGCGAGTTGTTCTGATTTGAGCACAAACTAAAGCAGCAGACATTGGACAAAGAAGAAAAGCCATCTGCAGGAGACAACTCTAGTTTGTTGAGTGACATCGGCGGGGTGGGGGGAGGGGGGGTGGGGGTAAAGGTGAAGGACGTCTTGATGTTGCTGCTTTTGGTGGTGTCGGTTGTGGGGCTGAAGAATGCTGAAGACTTGCTCTTGGAAGTACTCGCGGTGCAGTTCAGGCTTCAGAGATGAGGAACAGCGGACGCAGCACAAACAAGTTGAGAGGACAGCTCGCGCAACTAGGTATGTCTGTGTGCGAACAGCGTAACAGCGTCCAAGCTAGTGTTCCTGAATGATGCAGAAGCCATGGTCTGCGCCGCCAGATGAATGTGCGGAGGACGCTGGGGCCGCAGAGCCCGAGCCAGCTTTCAGTCATCACGACCTCCTTTGTAAGGACATCTATGCCAAGAGCTCTAAGAATTTGGAACGGCTTGGGCGGTTTATGGAGAGCAGAGAGGTTCGGGACAAGGAGCGGGCCAACTGGTCACGGAACCGATACAGGCACCAAATCGCATCTGCACAGCTCTGGGCAGGTCTTCACGAATGTGCGAGCCACCTGAAGCCACAACCCTTAGAGTTGCCTCCTTTGGATCCCCATGCCTTCAACCCATGGGAACCGGAGGTGGATACTCCCTCCGGCCACGCCGGCCACACCGGCCCAACTTTTGGCGCCCCAGCAAGACCCACGCTTGTGCGCAAAGCGCGTGGCCTCTTCTCGCCTTATGCCTCGATGGGTGACTTGGCGGCAGCCTTCCATGCGCCTGAAGATGGAGGTCGGAGTGCGGCCAGGGCCCCGCTCACCAAGTCCGAGACGGACTTGCGACCAACACCAGGCCGCCGGCCCCGCGGTTTGATGAAAGGTGGCCCCAAGCAGGAGATTGTTTGGCCGGGTGGCTGGATTCCCAAGCAAGCCGTGGGGAGTCGCGGCCTCCCGCAAGGATTCATCACAGCCAAAGCCTTCCCGGGTGGTGTGGTGATGTACCCGAAGGACCGATGGTTCCCGCCGGAGAAGACGGCGCCGAGCTCATGACCCTTGCAGACATGGATTTTGAGAGCAGGGGCTGATGATGCTGCGCTGTTGCCCAGTGCTGTGAGCAGCACACCTTCTCTGCCTAAGGCACTCAGTAGTTCCTCGGTGCCCTGGCGCTTGCCAGGGCGATAATTTTGATTTGAGCCATGTTTCCCCAAGACTTTATTTCGAGCCTGCGCTCATGAACGGAGACAGTGGGCAACCTTAAGGGTCTACCTGCTGGCTGTAGGAAGGAGATTAAAGAAAGGAGTATAAGTGTGCTTGGTGCCTTGCGGCACGATGGATGACCCCAGGAACATCCCAACATCATGTGATGAAGCCAGTAGCCTGGCAGTCGCCCGGTGCTGACCTGTACTGCTAGCATTGTTAGCTCTTGGCTCGAGCTTTCCAAATCGGGGTCCATCTTAGGGGAGAGCCTTGGACTTAGCACATGGTCGTTGTTTGAAGGGCGAGTCTCCTACTCTGCATCTTGCCAAACGAGTCGCGGGATCAGGTTGGGGGACGTTAGGGGGGGGGGGGGGGGGGGAGGTTGAGAGGCTTCGGGCTGAGGCTTCCGAGGCACTGGGAAGTAAAGGTGCCAACGCTGGTTTCTCTTCCACTTGGTGACCAAGGCGAAGGGGTGTTGTTGGTTGGCAGCCATGGTGGACTTTGAGTTCGACATGACCACGTGGAAGGCACCGTCGAGTACGGGGTACTGTCCCGCAGCTACAGCGGCATGAACAACTAGATTGCATTCAAGTGTTCGCTCGTTTTAAGTCTTGACACTGGTTGCAGAGTGCCGAGTGCTAGGACGCCAAAGTCTGGAGTGGTGGGCCTATTGAAGATTGGGAGGCCATGGCAACAGTGAGAGCTGCGGCACCCTTCCAGGGCCGAGGTAGTTTGGTGCAGAGTCGTCCTTTGGTGTTCGATGCCCCTAAGGCTCCCAAGGCTTGAGGGCTACCGTCCAGCAGAATGCCGTAGGCGCTTGGAAGTTGAGGGTCGGGTGACGTGTACGTTTTGAGACACCGAAAGCAAAAGATCAGCCCACATTCATACCAAGAAATGGGTTCCAACAACGTAGAGTGTGTGTGTGTGTGTGTGTGTGTGTGTGTGCGTGTGTTTCTATTTTTTCCTGTCTCTCTCTTTCTCTTTCTTTCTCTCTCTCTCTCTCTCTCTCTCAGTTTGCCTTTTGGTGTGGGCGCGGGCCCAGTCCACCCTTTCATGCCCCTGGCCTGCACCGGCAAATAGTCCTCATGCAGACTGAGGCAACTCGCCAAAGCCATCAAAGCCCAAACATCCCCCCAAACGATTTAAAACACCCAGACGGGCCCCCAGGTCCTGGGCAAAGATGGGAAGAAGCCAGCAGTTTCCATCCACCCACGCGGCTTGTCCTTCAGGGAGCAGTGCTCTTTGTGTTGGGGTGCTCACGTAGCGGGCCTCCTGTGGGAACAAGGAGATATGATGGACTACCACGGTCTGAGGCAAGTCTGCTAGCGGCGTAGCGGCAGCGAAGTGGTAGCGGAGGTGTGAAGGATGCCTCTTTTGCTTGCGCGCAGTAACACGTGGCCTCGGGAGCTCTTCTCCCGAGCTGTGGCGCTGGGGGAAGACCAGTACCTCGAGGTCATCAAGTTGCAGGAGTGGCAAGGTGTACTACACTCACACGGTTTGGGGACTCAGAAAGCAAGCTCTCTTCCGGGCCTTTTGCCGTCAGGAGGAGCTCAAGTTCCATTTCTACTACACGGGGATTCTCGGACTGGAGATGACCGAAAAGTCGGAACATGTTCGCAGTCTTGGAAGAGTTTGCAACTTCGAAGCTGAGGCTTGACCCCATGGATGGGACGGATGATCCCAAGGAGTACTTATGTCGGGCCCTGGTCCGCTTTCCACCACAATGTTTCGATGTCCCTGCTTGGGCGTGCGGTATGGCAGTTTGCCCATCCTCCGTTTTGCTGCCTTTTGGTCGAGTCCTGAGGTTTGGTTGTTTACAGCAAAAGCAATTGGCCTGGCATAATGAAAGGCGCGGATGGCAAAAACTGCCTGGTAAGCAGTTCTTCACTTTCATGCCAAAAGGATTTCAGATGTCCGATAGGCCTGCGGCAGATTGGCGTTGACGTCGAGTCTTCCCCAGCAGAAGCAGTGGACAAGGACAGAACTACTGAGTTCAGCTTCTGGCACGTCCTTGCGCCCAAGACTTGACCCTCCCTGCCAGGACACGGAAGATCTTGCCATCCAGATGATGCTGAGGGCCTCGGATGCTGGAAGCCAAGAACATGCAGAACAGTCCTTCAACCGTGGCCTGCATCCTGTGCGACATCCCTGCCCAGGCATGGATAACTTACTGCGATCCCTGGATGAAGCGTGAGTTTACCGATGACTCTGCCGTACTCCAGCCAGGTGGCTGGCTGAACTCCAACAAGTGCAAGAGCTGCACAGATGCGCCAGTGCTGTTGTCTTGTTTGCTGAGGTAAAGTGTACAGACCCTGCCTCGGCTGCACAGGGTTGCACATCCTGTGGAGTTTTTGAGCAGGTGTGGACTGTGGCTGCTTGGCACATGTTGTGCTGAGGATTCCATGAAGATGGGCTGAAGGAGAAACTTGGCCTTTAGGATCCGCAAGCCAGGCAAGACACCCAAAGATGGTGGATGGTGGCACTGCTCCTCAGCTAGCCCCACCCTGCAGGCAAAGAGCTACCAGCAGGCACATCGTGTTGATATGCATGTTGATACTCTTCCGCTCTCATTGCGCCCCAGCCGCCGCAATTGTGCAGAGAATCAAAAGGCCAACTCCATGAGTCCCCCCCCCTCCTGTTCCTATTGAAGATGTGGAAGGCATGTTGAAGGCGGAGAAGGACATCCCAGATGTTTCATACCAATAAGCTCAAGTAAGCTGCTCGGGCTTGGGGCGACGGGCGGGGCTTTGCCTCACGCCATCATACGGGCTTGATTGCAGCGTGTGTGCGCGCGCCTGCCGTTGGCTTTCAGCGTTGCAACTCTTCTCATAGTGTTGGGCAGACCTTCGCTCAATGGCAGCTTGGCTGGAACAAGGGCTGCAAAAAATTGGTATGATGTTCCTGGGCTGTGTTGATCTGTCTTGATTTGGCAAGCCGGTGGCACACTTGCTGTGGCTGTCAAGCTTTTGAAGCGTCAGCTGGTTCCCCAGAGCTTACCAGCCTCGGGTGAGGTTTTCCTGCTCAAGCCCAGGGCTAGGCTGGGCTAGGTGAGGCCGCCACAAAGTGCCCTCAAAAGAATGAGCCTCCTTGCTTGGTGCTTGCTCTCGGCGGCTTGGGCGTCTTCGGCGGCGGCGGCTTCGCCTGTCCTCGCGGTGTTCGGCCACAAGGCGGGTGGTCTGTGGTCGTAAAGCGACAGAGCGACTGACTTTCCACGGCAGAGACGTAGCTGCCAGGTCCCGGACACGGACTCTGTGACAGCGGCCCTGGCGAGTGCCTTACAGCCTGCCCCGAGATCATGATATGTTGTTGTACATATGCGCCTGCAGAAAGCCCGAAGCAAGGTTTATGCCTGGGAGCTGAATGCCCGCAACATCTCTGCAACGGCCTATCGCCTCGGTGAGCTGAATCCAGAGACAGACTCCTGACTCCACTTGCTCGTCATGGTCGACCGAGGCTGCAGTACTGGTACTGCCGGACGCAGGAAGAGCGTAGTTTCGGCATGGCGATTGTTGAAGCTCCAAGGACTTTGTGCTCAAGCACCTTGGTGTAACGGTGCCCCCACTTTTGGCCGACGTCTCGGGGAAGGTGGGAGGGTGTGTTTCGGCCATGGGTCTGGTCTGTGCGCGAATGCATGATATCACATGTCCAGCAGGGGCCACTTAGCATGCACAAGCGAGAAGAGGACACCGTGGCTGTGGTGGACACAAACAGCCCGCAAGAGCTCCCAGAGGTAGCTGGGTGTCGTGACCATTCGGTGCTGTGCGGCTACGGCCAGAAGCTATGCGTACCCTTGGACCAGGGCATCCTGAACGCCAGCATCCACTCCATCGTAGACCACCACAAGCTTTGTGGGCTCATCAACGCAGAACCTTTGGAGGCAAAGGCTCTTAGTTTTCTTCAAAGGGGGCAAGACGGCACCAGGAAACCTGCTCAGGTGGACATGCGGCCCCTGTGCTCTGCCACAAGTATCCTTTACGCGCGAGCCAAGTATATTGGCTTGTCCCCGCCGAAGGAGGTGGCGGGCTTGATGCTTGCAGGCCGGAGACTTTGTGATGCGTCCATCAATTGCCTTCAGTGTCGCTTTGCCCACCTATGCAGCTCGGCGAGGAATTCTGTCGGACTCCTTGGAGTTTCGATCGCCGACGACCACCGAGCTCGACAAGACCCACGCCGCTGAGCTGGGCAAGCTCGCCGGCGCTCGCCTCAGATGCCGGGATGCCGGGTTTTGTCACATCACCGAAGCGCTTAGAAGATGGGATGAGCCCAGGGGGCCCATGGGGCTGGGCGAGCGTGAGCGCAGTCGTGAGCACTCGTGAGCACGCGCGAGAACTCGTGAACACGGAACCTTTGAGGCCTCGATGTTCACGACTTCGCCGAGGGGATGCTGGAGGCGAAGGCCAACGTGGACCACTTGAGCCCGTCAGAGCTGATAATGATGGACACGAGCCTAGGGCCCAAGAAGATTCGCTCCAGTCAGTCTAAGTGTTCTCAAGAACGCAGGCAGGTGGCTCAGGCGTCCAGGAATGGAGCGTCATGTTGTGTCGGCCTTGCGATGCCCCAGGAAGATTTTCACGATCGGAGGAAAGAAGCTTCGGGTGTCGGTCATGGAGACGACCAAGGCCTCTGGACCACTGGCAAAGAAGGACGAGCTTCCTGGAGAGAGAAACAACGCTTTTTTGTTTTGCGCAACTCACTGAGACGTAGCATGCCTGGCAGACTGACTCTTGCAGAACCCTATGCCAGCCCTTTTGACTCTTCAGTTTGGTAGAGTGTTGCCGGGTCTAGCAGGGCACGGGTTTGTTGCACTGGCACAGGCCGTGTTGCAGGAAAGGGCAGGTGTGGCAGGTAGTTTCTCGCACATCGAGATTTGCAGAATCAGCTGAAGTGGAAATACTCACAGCTCGTGGGCCCATTGACATTGCTTGGTACGGCAGTCCTTGATTACTTTGTCGTTCCTCCCTGCGCCTCCTTCTCAAGTCACAAGTTTCTGCGGCTGAGGGATCGGCAGTTTTCTTGCTTCTGCTCCTGTGCAGCGTCGTCAAGACAAGGCTGGTAGCTGCCATGAAAAAGTTGACTGTGGACGAGAAGCTGGACGATGTGCTGTTCTTCGCAGCCTGGCAGGATAGTGCCAAAATCAAGCACGGACAATGTATTCATGCAGTTTTCTGCTCTCATCGAATCACTCGGTGCCCTGCGTCAGGGAAGCGACCTAAACATTTTCCAGTGAAAGTGGTTCATGATGTTTCGGAGCAAGAATTTTTTTTGAAAGGTTTCAGCTTGTGTGGCACATCTATGCCGAGGTGATCGACATACTCAAGGAAGCCGCCACGTTCATCTCCTCCTCTCCTACAGCTACCAAGCTGGTGGAGATGCCTTGTTGCGCTAGCGGCAGCGTGCTAATTGCTTGCTTAGGCACCAGCTGATACATCCTGATTCGTCGGGTGGTATGGGTGGCATATCTATATACTCGTACCTGCACGTACATGTGTATTTCATCATATGTGCATAGACATAGATAGTTCTTAGTATCTGAATATTATGGTATACGTTTTCTGTGCGAATTTTGCAGCGACATGCTTCGGGGCAGTGTCAGGTCTTTTGGAGGTAAGTTCGCTTGTTTCCCATTCCTGACACAGCCCACATGGTAAACAGATGCGGCAAAGCCCTCACGTGCCAGCAGCTTCGCGCATGGGCTGCCGTGCAGGGTCGGGCAAGGCAAGCTAAAGATCAGGAACTCCTTTGGAGCTGTAATGCAGCGAGGTCGCCTGATGGCCTGCCTAAAGGGACACATGGTTACATGAAGTCGACAGCTGAGGAAAGCCTGGGGCGTGAAAGTGGATGCGGAGGGCCAGGTGGTCCTTCCGAACGTCCTGTCACGCAAGAGCCCTCCTCAGATGTGGAAGTGTTCTGCTTCGGCTAGGGCCAGTTGACATAGTCTCAACGTCTGCTCCAGTCCCTCTGGCTGTGGGACGCGGGTGGCAGCGCCTCACCACTGCCGCACCAAGGAAGCAGATCATTCCGAAACTGGAGGCAGCTGCCAAGGAGGCCTGAACCCTGCAGGCAAAGAGCGACCAGCAGGCACGCGGCGTTGATGCATGTTGAAACTGTTCCGCTCTCATTGCGCCCTAGCCCCCGTGATTGAGTGACCGCCGTACCAGGGATGGCTTCAGCATGGCCTCGGTGACTGCCTTGTACAGGTGGGCTTTCTTTCTGGGCCAGAACCCATCAGGACCCCATTCTCGGCCTGAAGTGTAAAGCACCGGGGGGTCTGGGCCAGATCTGGCCTCTCCTTTTGTGTTCGGCCCTTCTGTCGGCGCGCAGGCTGACAGTTTGGGTCTTGAGCAAGCCGCGGGCTTGCCTTTAGACAGAGTATTGGCCGAAGGTCTCATGATCTACAGCTTCTTTGGGCGTTCTAGATTTTAGACACTTCCAGGCATCAAAAGAATCAAGAGGCAAGTTTCATTTCTCCCCCGTTCCCATTGAAGCCGGCTCGGGTGAGGTTTTCCTGCTCAAGCCCAGGGCTAGGCTGGGCTAGGTGAGGCCGCCACAAAGTGCCCTCAAAAGAATGAGCCTCCTTGCTTGGTGCTTGCTCTCGGCGGCTTCGGCGTCTTCGGCGGCGGCGGCTTCGCCTGTCCTCGCGGTGTTCGGCCACAAGGCGGGTGGTCTGTGGTCGAGGTAGGTCGTAAAGCGACAGAGCGACTGACTTTCCACGGCAGAGACGTAGCTGCCAGGTCCCGGACACGGACACTGTGACAGCGGCTCTGGCGAGTGCCTTACAGCCTGCCCCGAGATCATGATATGTTGTTGTACCTGTGCGCTTGCAGAAAGCCCGAAGCAAGGTTTATGCCTGGGAGCTGAATGCCCGCAACATCTCTGCAACGGCCTATCGCCTCGGTGAGCTGAATCCAGAGACAGACTCCTGACTCCACTTGCTCGTTGTGGTCTACCGAGGCTGCAGTACCGGTAGTGCCGGACGCAGGAAGAGCATAGTTTCGGGATCCCGATTTTTGAAGCTCCAAGGACTTTGTGCTCAAGCGCCTTGGTGTAACGGTGCCCCCACTTTTGGCCGACGTCTCGGGGAAGGTGGGAGGGTGTGTTTCGGCCATGGGTTTGGTTGGTACGCAATTTGGCAATTGTATGATATCACATGTCCAGCAGGGGCCACTTCCCTCACACAAACACTCCTCTAAGCCGTAGCCCTCAGCAAACTTTAGCATCGACGAGTGAGAAGAGGACACCGTGGCTGTGGTGGACACAAACAACCCGCAAGAGCTCCCCGAGGTAGCTGGGAGTCGTAGCCGTTCGGTGCTGTTCCAGCACGTGTACGGTGCTGTTCTATGGCCAGAAGCCGTACCCTTGGCCCAGGGCATCCTGAAAGCCAGCATCCACTCCATCGTAGACCACCACAAGCTCAGCGGCCTCACCAACGCAGAGCCTTTGGAGGCGAAGGGCCTTTATCGTGAAAGAACTTGTTGTAGGCAAATGGGGCAAGACGGCACCAGCCGTGAAACCTGCTCAGGTGGACATGCGGCCCCTGTGCTCTGCCACAAGTATCCTTTACGCGCGAGCCAAGCTTATCGGCTTGTCCCCGCCGAAGGAGGTGGCGGGCTTGATGCTTGCAGGCCGGAGACTTTGTGATGCGTCCATCAATTGCCTTCAGTGTCGCTTTGCTCGCCTATGCAGCTCGGTGAGGAATTCTGTCGGACTCCTTGGAGTTTCGATCGCCGACGACCACTGAGCTCGACAAGACCCACGCCGCTGAGCTGGGCAAGCTCGCCGGCGCTCGCCTCAGATGCCGGGATGCCGGGTTTTGTCACATCACCGAAGCGCTTAGAAGATGGGATGAGCCCAGGGGGCCCATGGGGCTGGGCGAGCGTGAGCGCAGTCGTGAGCACTCGTGAGCACGCGCGAGAACTCGTGAACACGGAACCTTTGAGGCCTCGATGTTCACGACTTCGCCGAGGGGATGCTGGAGGCGAAGGCCAACGTGGACCACTTGAGCCCGTCAGAGCTGATAATGATGGACACGAGCCTAGGGCCCAAGAAGATTCGCTCCAGTCAGTCTAAGTGTTCTCAAGAACGCAGGCAGGTGGCTCAGGCGTCCAGGAATGGAGCGTCATGTTGTGTCGGCCTTGCGATGCCCCAGGAAGATTTTCACGATCGGAGGAAAGAAGCTTCGGGTGTCGGTCATGGAGACGACCAAGGCCTCTGGACCACTGGCAAAGAAGGACGAGCTTCCTGGAGAGAAAAACAACCTTTTTTTGTTTTTGCAAATCTGTGGCAACTCGCTGACACGCAGTATGCTTAGCAGCCTGACGCTGCAGAACCCTATGCCAGCCCTGTTGACTCTTCAGTTTGGTGGAGTGTTGCTTGGTGCAGCACCGCACGGGTTTGTTGCACTGGCAAAGTCCGTGTTGCAGGAAGGGCGGGTGGTTTAGCAGGTAGTTTCTCGCACATCGAGATTTGCAGCATTGGCAAGTGTAACACTCACAGCTCGCGGGCCCATTGGCATCAGCAGTCTTTGATGGCTTTGTCGAACCTCCCTTCGTCTCCTTCTCCAGTCATCAGTCCTGTGCAGCGTCATGAAGACAAGGCTGGTAGCTGCCATGAAAAAGTTGACTGCGGACGAGAAGCTGGACGATGTGCTGTTCTTCGCAGCCTGGCAGGATAGTGCCAAAAAATCAAGCACGGACAATGTATTGCGGTTTTCTGCTCTCATCGAATCACTTGGTGCCCTGCGTCAGGGAAGCGACCTAAACATTGTCCAGTGACAGTGGTTCATGATGTTTCGGAGCAAGAAATGTTGTTGAAATGTTTCAGCTTGTGGCGCATCTATGCCGAGGTGGTTGACATACTCAAGGAAGCCGCCACGTTCATCTCCTCCTCTCCTACAGCTACCAAGTTGGTGGAGATGCTGGGTTGCGCTAGTGGCAGCGTGTCTTTCTAATTGCTTGCTTAGGCACGGCGAGCACGTGGCATAAGTGGCATTTCTGTGAGAGTATATATATGTATATATATATATATATTTATTTATTTATTTATATCTGCACTTGCATGTACATGAATATGTGTCTGCTGGCTTCCCTTTGACATCACTTGAGACAGCAGCCGACAGCTGAGGAAAGCCTGGGGCGTGAAAGTGGATGCAGCGGGCCAGGTGGTCCTCCCGAACGTCCTCTCACGCAAGAGCCCTCCTCAGATACGAAAGTGTTCTGCTTCGGCTAGGGCCAGTTGACATCGTCTCAGAGTCCACTCCAGTCTGGCTGTGGGACGAGGGTGGCAGAGCCTCACCACTGCCACACCAAGGAAGCAGATCATTCCGAAGCTGGAGGCTGCCGCGAAGGAGGAGCTCTGAGAGTTGCGAGTTTTCATCAACACGCTGTCTTCAACAGTTTCCAGCGCTATATATGACAGCCTCACTCCCGGTGAGTTGCGTCGCACCATGCTTAGTGCGGCGTCTCTCACTCCACCCAAGATTTTAATGCTGTTTTTCCCGCTGCAGCAGCGGCGGTATGCAGCTTGAAGAAGTAGGACCATCGTAGGAATGGCTTGAGCTTCGAGCAGCTTCGAGTTCGGAAGCATACGAGTGCAACGGTGTCCAGGAATCCCGTCCAGGCCTGCTTCACTTCGTACCCCATTGCTCTTGCATGGCTTGTTTCGGGGTGGCCGAATGGCTGCGACCCACAAGCCATGCTCAATTCACCGCGCGCCAGCGCATCCCAAAACGTGAGCCAGGTTTTGTGCACGCTTGGTTGGAGATGCTTCGAGTGAATAGGCGGAAGATTAGCCGGAGAGTGTGACTGCAAAGAGAGGGTGCATCTAAGGAGGATTACGATCTCGCCGGATGGGTTGAAAGGCTGGCGACGATGCCTAATCTCATGGGTTCGCGCAGCATTCTCATTCAAATGCTTAGTTCGTTGCTTTGACATTTCCGATTGGACCTTTGTGGATTCAGCTTGCTTTGATCCTCGGCTGGGTATGTAGGAACCCATCCGGGAATCGCACGGCGCGTCTTCGTGGTGCTCCCTTCTCTTCCTACTATGTCCCGCCAATCGCACATGCTGCTCTTCAAAGGCGTGGCCCAATGGTGGACTTTAAATGGTACGTGGCTCAGTGATTTCGTGGGCACGAAGTCGGCCCAACCGGGCATCACAAGCCAGACTAAGTCATTGGCATGTTTGCTTTTGGGTCCTGTTAGCCCTATTCCCCGCAGGCCCAGCCTGCACAGGTGGCATGTTACCAGTCGAGCAACCTGGAGCTTTCCGGGCTAGGAGATGTTGCGATGCCGGTGTCTCAGGCAGAAGCGCTGGGTTGTTCTTCAACGCGGTCGCTTGAAGACTTTCCAGGACGAGGCCTTGTTTCGGTTGCTTGGTCGACACGATCGCCTCAGAGAAGCACGTCCACATCCACAGCACCCGTAGGTGGACCTGCTGTCCCAGCATCAAGTCTGTTGAGGGAATCAGGAACAGTCTGTGTGGCTGCTTTGCAGATCTTTGCAGCATAGGCAGCATAGAGCACAAGGGCCATTCTCCGGATTCACAACTTCGCAGACCTGCTTGTCGCCCAAAGCCGCGTTCGAGCTGAACGCGCGCAGCAAAGTCGTTCCCTTCAAGGCCCCGTGCTTGAGATCCGGTCTTGGTCCCCCCCCCCCCATTATTTTTTGCAACATGTGTTGTAGTGGTCCATGAGAGCCAAAAGTAGTGCATCCTGGTGGCTTCGCTTTAAATTGGGCTTATTCGCCGCGGAGGTTGTTGCTGAGATGTGCAGGTCTCTTCCCTGTTGCAAGCAAGTGGCATGTCAGACCAAGTCAGTAGTGAAGTCATCCCGCCGGTGACAGTTGCTGCTGCAAATGAAATCCAACTAGACTATGTCACTCGCACGAGGCTCCGGATGCCCCTGGCCAATCAGTACTCTACAGCGGCATGCTCAGAAGTGAAGCCGAGTGCTGTAGCAGTAGCGGGGCAGCCCGTCCACTCAAATCGAGGAAAGGGACAAGGGTATGGGTTGTCAATGGTGCCTCAATAGTGACCAGAGTGTCGAGCCCAATGGCTCCCAGACAGTCCAAGCCCACTGAAACTGCGGGTTTCCGCATCCTTCAGCCTCTCTGGATGCCTCTGGCAGGCCGAACGAGACCCTTTGGTTTTGTCTTGGACCTCGAGCCAGAGGCGACTTTGGTGAAAGCATCATGCCTCTCACGGCTCGCTGAGCCTGGACTTGGCATTGTAGGCTGGCAAGGCTGCTTCTTTGGCAGGCTGGAAAGTCGCGGTGGATGGTGTACTTTGACACGTCGAATGCTCGGCATCTGTTGCTTGAAATAGGGCTAGGGGTATCTGCAAAAGCCCCGTCGTAGCATCGCCAATGCAACACCCGCCTCCCAGGACTTGTGTTTGTTAGCTCGTTCTCTCTGGACTGCTGGCTTGTGTAGCTGTTATGAACCGGACTGCGCACCACTTCGCCATGATGGTATGCTAGGCACTGTATCCCCCATAAGGCAGGCGAAGCCCAGATTCTCCTCATATCTGCAGTGGTACAACACATCTGTAGCTTGAAGTCCCAATGTCAGTATACCCCTAAACCCTATACCCTAAACCCTGTCGGTAAGGTGTCGCCTGTACGCCTTTTTTCCTTTCGTACTGAAGTGACCTGCGTAGTCCCTGCGGTGCGTCTTTCGGGGACAGCTTGGCGGGTTGCATGAGCAAGCACTTATTGGGCCCCAAGGCTGCAGCCAGATGCGCTTAGTCAGTGGACGCAGGCCAGCAGCGGAGTCTAGCGCTCGAGAAATCTCGATTCCCACTTCTTCTGCAGCTCTTCTTCTTACATATGTATATATATATATATATGTTTTTGATTGTTATATATATATATATATAACATATATACAAAAAGAAAAAATTATATATATGGATCATTATCATTGCTGTTTTTTTCAATGTAATTTCATCTTCGAGTGCAGTGATCTCTTTCACTCTGCCAGGCCATTGAAGGAAGTGTGCGAAGCCTTGTGACCTCTCATCAGAGATCACCAGTCTCAGGTGGGCTGCCACGATTTGCATGCGCTATGCAAGCAAACGCCGCAGTCGAGGTTTTCCTCAGAGAGGGCGAAGCCCAGGGCCCCAGGGAACCTACTGGAAGCTGCCATGAATTGCGGACCACGACTCCACGGATTCTCGCAGGAGACCAAAAAACCAAGACAGATGCCAGAGACCCCCTCAGTTGTCGGGCAGAAGATGCATCCGCTGCGGCCGACTTCTGCCAATCGCAGAGCCGTGTAATCGCAACCCTGACACAACCCTATGGAGTCCTTCAGGCCGTGCTATCAGTGCCCCAACCGTGACTCCAAGTCCTTCCCAAGCAAGTCGAGCTCCAATCACTCCAAGCTCTCCTCGGATGTTTTTGGATCTTTCTGGGGGGTGTTGCGCTGTGTTGCGCTGCTCTGGGATGGAATCCTTGGGACAATCAGCTGGAGGCTGCTTCAATGAATTGAGGTTGCGGTGGTATGATTCCCCAAAAGTGGTGACCACTACTAAGGGGGCTGTATCGTTGGGGGTCGGAGGCGCTAGGTCGATGCGCTTTTCTCGAAGCCTGCTTGCGCATGGGACGCAAATCGCGCTCTCGCATGGGCTATGGGCGTGCGCGTGCCTGTGCTTGCCGTCCTCGGGCCGGTCATCGCTTGTTGGCTCTCTCGACTGCGAAGCTGCTTTCGCGCTGTGTTCGAAACAGTCTTCGCTTTCGGACGGTCGCTATTGGACGTCCGGGCTCGAAACGCACAACTTTCATCGCTTCTTGACTTCTGGGTTCGTGAGAGGCGAGACCATCGTCACACTTGGCGAGTGGGCTCACATGGTCTCGCACTGTTTGTAGTCTACGCTGGCATTATATGTGTACACATGCACGCAAGCTGGCATGCGTCGTTTATCAAGCCTTGCCTGGCCGGTGATGTGTGATGAGCTGTAAGCCTTGCATGTTCAGGCAGTCTTCCTCGAGGACCTGCGGCGAACCAAGACAAAGAAAGCAGCTTTTCAGGCCATATGTTTGTATGTTCTCGAAGTCTTCTGAGCAAGCTGTGCTGCACCGGTTGATGGCCGCTCTTTTGGAGTGCTTGGACTTTGCAAAGTGTTGCGCAATTCGTTTCGTCGTTGCTTTCGACTGCGCAGATGCCGATGCAACAGCTGCTCGGCGTCTCGTGAAGCAAGTCGTCGTCAGATGCTGCACAAGGCCAGGTTGCATTCAAGATTGAAGGGCCTTCCGGGAATGAGCGGCCGGCATCAAAAGGCATACGCGACCTGGGTTCAAGGACTTACAGTAGGCTCAGAAGGCTTCTCATCTCAGCGACTCTTCCGTGTTTGCTAGGTCAGCGGATCAGATGTTGAACCGCCTGGCTGCGAGACAAGTGCTGCTCTGGCCTTTGAGGAAGCCTGCACACGCTAGGTGGTGAAGCACAGCCTCGTGTGTCCCACAATGTAGCCAACCAAGGCGGACCATTCTTCAACAGCTGTGTGGCGCGCATGGCAAGTTGCAGCAGGCGCTCAGCTCGTGGACACAGTTCTTGTAATGACTAACATCGCCATCTACAGCGATGGTTTCTTGGAAGTTGGTGGTTTATCTACATGATGTGATCTTATATGAAACAAGTATACAGGCATGACTATGAACAAACACGCGCATTGCACATACACATGCAACAAGGGCTGGCAGGCGCAAGCTACGCGTGAATCTTGGCTGCTTTGCTATGGGTCTTCTTGCCAGCAGGAGCCCTCGCAACCTCGAGCTC